CATTAAAAGGCGTAAGAGGACAAAAACAAGATCTTGACATAAAAGCCATTGTTGGAACGAAGTGTTACCAAAACGCACTAGCTTTTCTATATATTAGAAGTTGACAATCTAATTGATTTTTACCAGTAATTATTCTATGAATACGCCACGAATTCATTTTGTGAACGATCTTAGTTTTAATTGGTTCACAAAGGAATTTACCGACGTTTCACTGCCTCGACTGCACTTTTCTGCTTCTTTGTTGGTCAGGCTTGATTTCGCAAAATTTATTTATTTCAGTTAGCTATGAAACATGAAGTTAGGGTATACTTTGGGGTATTTTAGTAGTATTTTAATTTTAAAAAACGCAAATTCTGGCAGAATGTAATAAATTCAAATTCCCCTCCTAAGTGTCTATTGAATTAGTGTTATATTAAAATATTCACATTAAAATATTAATACAGAATAAAGATTATCATATTACATACTTGGAACATAATTACATAAGAACCTTCTGGACATAACTATTTCTTATGAAATAAGTAAAAACTTTTTACTTATTTATAAACCGACAGTATTTCCTACTAAAATCCTATAATCTCATTGTGTAGCTTCGTGCTTAATAACAAAATACATAAACAAAAATTCCCACCAAACATGCTCGCCCTTTCAGCAGTGAGGGCGTTATAATGTGACGGTCAATCCCACTATTCGTTGGTAAAAGAGTAGCCCAAGAGTTGGCGGTGATGACTAGCTGTTTTCCCTCTAGTTTTACACTGCTAAGTTAGGGACGGCTAGCGCAGATAGCCCTCGTGTAGCTTTGCGCGAAATCCATAACAAACAAACATAAACAAAATCCTTATCTCGTTGCACTACGAGACTTCGAATTTTTGAAAATTAAAACTAACCAACTATAAAACGTTTCACGATTTTAACAAATAGTAGTAATAGTGCTTATATAGCTGCACTGCGCTTTTTTAAAATACAATAACAACCTCAACTTACTCTGAATGTTACACCATTACCTCATTTATTACACTTTTACATTATGTTTCTTCGTTTAATTTGAAATCAGTTATTTCTCTCATTTTCAGCCCCCCCCTAAATTGGCTCAGCGTTAAATCTAAGGGCTTATAACGCTAAACACCAGGTGGGCAGAGCACAGATGACCCACTGTACTTTGTGCCTAACAAATACTCACATTATCTATTAGTGTGTTCATTCGAAATAAAAAACTATGATTTCGACCTCGGAATGTAGTTGAATAGACTTTTATTATATTTCTTTTAAATAAACAAGTCGGATTTATGTGTTAAATATCATTCATTTTTCTTCAAGTTAATCCACCCCCCACCCCCCACCCCCACACAAACACCAGTGGCAGAGAGGTATGTGTTCGGACTTACAATGCTAGAAACCGGGTTTCGATACCCGTGGTGGGCAGAGCACAGATAACCATTTGTATAGCTTTGTGCTTAGTTACAATCAAATATTTTTTTCAAGTTAATTATTTTAAAATTTTATATTTTTACTTATTTTATATTCTATAGCTTTTGGAAAAAATTAATCGAAAATACGTTAGGATTACTTTTACTTTTTGAAACGCTCATCAGTTAAACCTTTTTTTTTTATTAGTTTACTGTTTTGAAAAACGATAAATGTTTTAAAGTATGTCACGAAAACTTTATACATGTAAAAAGGGAGAGGTTTGTTTGTTTGTAGTTATGCACAAAGCTCTGCCCACCACGGGTATCGAAACCCGGTTTCTAGCGTTGTAAGTCCGCAGACATACCGCTGTGCCACTGGGGGGGGGGCAAAAAAAAGAAAAAAGGGAGAGAGAAATTTGGTTGGTGAATTTTGTGCAAATCGAGGGTTAGACTAGAGAGAAGGCAACTAGTCCACACTACCCACCGCCAACTCTGGAGCTACTCTTTATCAAGGAATAGTGGGATTGACCGTCACATCATAATGCCCCCATAGCCGAAAGCGTAATCATATTTGGTGACAAGATTCGAACCTAGGAGAACGAAGGGACAGATTTTCACATGAAACTATGTGAAAGAAGTATATATTGTTTGTTTGTTTGTTGTTAAGCCCGAATGGGCTATCTGTGCAGTGCCTACTACGGGTATAGAAACTCGAACTTTAGCTTTATAAGCCCTGAGACTTACCACTGAGCCACTGGGGGAATTATGTATTGGAAAAGTTATTTTCTGATTGATAACAAATTTATGACGAATAATGATGATGTGCGCAGTTATTCATTAAACTTTAACCTTTTGCTAGTTTTTGAAGTTAATAAAAAAATTGAAATTTTACTGAATGTAAGTTTTCTATAATGTACTGTAATATCCACAACGCTTAGCTGAATTAGTTTTGCACGTGTTTCATTTCAGTATATTTTATTTCCTCTTTTAGACACAAGACTATTACAGACACTATCCATGGCCTAATGTCCAAAATTGGGAGAATTTTCTGTACAAGCAACGTCTACGAAAACGTAAGAAGCGGGCGATGTATATGGGAGTGATAGCAATTGGAATAATTGTGGTTGTTGGAATTGCTGTAGCTATGGTGCTGGCTGTCCTCAGGCGCAAACATTCGAACGTTGCCTAGTTACGTTCAGCTCGTAATAATGTCTTGAAGGAAGATTATTGCCAAAACAGTGACGATCTGTGTAGTTTGTTTATGAGGTTTCAGTTTAGTTTAAAAAAAAATCGAGAGATGGCAGCAGCATACAAACTATTACTTATCATACAGTATTTTTTTATAATATATAAAACATACTTGATGAAAATAATATATTAAAATGATTTTCAATAAGAAATTTTTTAAGACATCACTAAAATATCTAGTTTAAATAGGTCATTAATACTTCACCACCAGTATCAACTTCTCAATTTTACAATATGAGGAGCTATATTTTGCTGGTCCATATCTAGATTCCGAGTTGCAATTTTAAGAATCTCGAGAATCCTCGAATAATGCTCAACCTCAATGGTACTAACAATACTAACATTGTTATTTGTTATGTCGTACTAAGCAATGCTGGACGTACTTGGCTAGGATATGCATTAGGGTATTCTATCAAAAGATAATATAATTTAAAAAGTACAGGGGACATGACCCCCATGAAAATTACGCTTATGCTTTCTACGAATGGATAGCCATCTAATGGTGAAATACAGATAATCTTCTGCATAACAAGGACATTTAAACTTGAAACTAACAAACAATAAATCGATCCAAAACTATAAATAAGTTGCTTATTATAAAAGCTGATTTTAAAACACATTAATTTTGTATTTGTGGACATACTTTACCTAAAACAGTTATTCCTTTTTTTAACAGTATACCGTGTAAGGTAACTATTACAATGGTTGTTTTTCTCTCTAGAAACAGTAACTGTGAAATTTTAAGGGTAATCACACGGTTCTCTTATCGGGTATAGTGTTGTGACTCAAAATACTCATATATTCACTATTTGTTTGTATGTTACCTATTTATTAGCTTATTAAAGTGACTTACAAATTCATAAGCACCATTTTTAATCATTTGACGAGTGACTCCTGTAGAAACATGATTATCAAAATTATCGTACAACCCAGAAATATTTCTCTGGATACTGCAATATATAATTGCTTTTCTTTCAGTCCTAAGAGCCTTATGAGATTTTTTAAGTACGAAAAATCTAGGCTTATCTACTCACTTTTTATTTTTTTTTGGATTTTACACTTATGTGCAATTCTAGCAATCAGCTACTCCTACAGAAACAAGTTATTTCAAGTACACAAGTCCTATAATAATTAACGTAAACTTTTATGCTTAATTATCTCTACCTGATCGTACACTGTTTGCCAGATGTTCTAGAAATTAATCTCAATGTACAAAGTACATACTAATAAAAGTAGCAGAGATTACTTGAAACTTTTATAAAAGTCTGCAGTTTTGTTATTACATTATGTAACTAATTTTTATATGCATATCGTGGTTTGTAAGAGTTGTACACGAATAAACATTATTCTTTAAAACTGAAAATTCATTCTAAAAACACATTTATCAAATATAATTACAGTTTGTCACGTATACAAGAAATAATAACGACACCAGGGTATATAACTGGCATTAGATGGTAAAATTAAACTTGTTATATTAAACATTTTTTGTGTTAAATCTGGTTTCGGTTACCAGTCAAGAACACTTGTAAAATCAAACCCAAAGTGATAATATTTCTAACAAAATACGATATAGAAGATCAATTCCATTATCATTTCTTTGATTCATGTTTGAAGTGTATGTTGAAAGATAAAAAAGAGAGAATAAAAAATAAGGTTTTAATTACCTTAATATTTGAAGTTGATTGTTGAAGCATAAAAAGAGAATAAAAAGTAAGGTTTTAATTACCTTAATATTTGAAGTTTATGTTGAAAGACAAAAAAAGATATAAAATAGAGGGAATACAAAATAAGGTTTTAATTACCTTAATATTTGAAGTTTATGGTGAAAAACAAAAAAGGATAAAGAAAAGAAAGAATACAAATTAAGGTTTTAATTACCTCAATGCGCAGAGAATATACATTTTGTTTGAATTGATCAATAACATCTTTATATTTCACTCCTCTGTTCATTCCCTTCTTTTGAAAAAAATATCTGGTCATGTTTTTAGTTACAGACAGAATACGTGGGCGTTTTAAAGATAATAGGCCTTTAAGAGACAATTTCGATTATTTTCGTTCCTTTGTTGGAAAAATTATCTGGCTGATGTGTTTTGTCCTTTGCTTTTGGTTAATATCCAGATAAGCTAATATGAGTCTTGCATATTCAAAATAGAAACATGAACGAAATTGAAGAAACTATAAAAAAAACAGGCATATGTTAAGAATAAGAGTTATTTGATGCTAAAAATCAAGTGTTAACCACGAGGCCTTTAGTGAAAGAAATTTCTAGAATCATTAGTTTCTAACGGTAAAAATAACAGGAAATATCTTCCCTCATGCATTCTCATCATTCGGATGTTTCTGAATGCAATATTGTAATCCAATAACTCCATCATGGTAATCCTCATCTGTTGATTTTTTTAATTATTTCTGATTTTTAAATGGAGCTTTTATTTTTTGGGGGGTATATAAATTTATTTGAAAAGAATTTGTTGACATCAGTCCAAAACATCTCTCATATAGACATCGGCTTAGTAATTGTTACCTCATTGGCCATGAAAGCTTGAAAATATGTTACACTAAAGTCCATTTCTTCAAACAGAAAATTTCCTTTAATATTCACTTTTTCCTTTAATGTTTATGTTACTTTTCACTCTGAGCATCATTATTCCCTCAACTTTTTCACTACTAAGATTGACAACGTCCAGAAATAGTCTCCCTCCTTAGCATTGTTTCCAATGAGACCATCATCAGTTACAGCAATCAGAGGTGGCCTCCATCCTTAGCATAGTTTCCAATGAGATAACCATCACTGATAATAATCAGTGGTAGCTTCCATCCTTAGCATCGTTTTCAATGAGACAATCACCAGCGACAACAATCAGCAGTGGTCTCCATCTTTAACATTGTTTTCAATGAGACAATCATCAGTGACAACAATCAGAGGTGGCCTCCATCCTTAGCATAGTTTCCAATGAGACCATCATCAGTGACAGCAATCAGAGGTGGCCTCCATCCTTAGCATCGTTTCCAAGGAGATAACCATCACTGATAATAATCAGTGGTGGCCTCCATCCTTAGCATAGTTTTCAATGAGACAATCATCACTGATAACAATCAGAGGTGCTTCCATCCTTAGCATAGTTTCCAATGAGACCATCATCAGTGCCAGCAATCAGAGGTGGCCTCCATCCTTAGCATCGTTTCCAATGAGACAATCATTATCACGAACCTTTTTCTTTTCACTGAAACTGCTTTCTCTTAGGGCAGATCTTTCTTACTTTAATTTCATAAACAACGTTATTAAACTCTACTTCTTGACTCAAGTATTTGATATATTCCTCAGAGTTTGATATTTTATCGGAAGATTTTTTTTTGGGTGAATGTAGTGAAATATACAAACACAGATATTTCTAATATAATCTTAGAAACCTTAGTTTTCAATAAGTTATGAATTTATAATTAATGTCAATGTAACTTTGTCCATGAACCTTAGAATAAGCTAAACAGATCGTATTTTGAAAAGAAATATGTAAGACATAATGGCTAAATATTTGCTAGAATGATATAATTTCTCCGTAAATGTTTCATTTATTAAATTATAGTTTTAAGATGCAAGTTGTGGTTTGAATTGGAAATAAATCAACATAAAATTAACTATTTTCATACACCAAGTAATCGAAACAGGAAATACTAGCGAACAGTTGTTCATATTCTATTAAGAACTTTGATAGGAACATTATACTTGTTATAAACTATTCTTTCATAGTTATGTTAAACTAGACAAGGAAAAAAAAACAGTTTACATTAACAATACGCAGTTATTGACTACATTATTAGGGTTAACAACAGTTTACATTAACAATACGCAATTATTGACTACATTATTAGGGTTAACAACAGTTTACATTAACAATACGCAGTTATTGACTACATTATTAGGGTTAACAACAGTTTACATTAACAATACGCAGTTATTGACTACATTATTAGGGTTAGCAGGCAGTTATTGAATTTTACTTATAGTTTGAAATATTGGAGTTTGATGCAAATAATTATTCACATATCCCCCCAGTGGCACATTGGTATGTATGCGGAATTACAACGCTAGAAGCCGGGTTTCGATACCCGTGGTGGGCGGAGCTCAGATAGCCCATTGTGCAGCTTTATGCTTAATTACAAACAAACTAATTATTCACATATTTCTTTATTGGATTACAAGACACAAACCCAAAAATTTGATTTCCCTGTATGAAACTTACAAAATTGATTTCGGCTAGAAATATAATTCTTCAAACAGAAATGACCAGTTCACACTCGCTAGTGCTGTATCATTTTTAGTGATAATTTTATCGCTTTCTTTTACTAATTTATCATTGGATATATCATCTGATATCCGGCGTATCAATTGGTTACCAAACAAGTATATGAACACGAACAACAAAGAGCGGCATGAAATAAAAGCCTATTTTCAATATCCCAATAAAAGATCATGGCTTAATCTTTATCAATTATATAAAAAAAAATGTAATAACTAATATTAATTTCTGAAACAACTATATTTTATAAACGAAAAACAAACCAACAAACGGAAATTAAGTAAAGAAATGTATATAAAAATAATAATAGATTCTAAAAAAAATGTATTTATATTTTTATTTATGGCAAAACTATTAAGACTATCTGACTCCATTCCTAATTTTGAAGAATGAGGGCAACCAATCAACATCATCCTACCACCCGTCATCCACGCTAAGCGATTTACTGTCATTCTTATTGTTGATTTGTTTGAAGTTAAGCACAAAGCTACACAATGGGCTGTCTGTGCTCTTCCCACCAAGGGTATCGAAACCCTGTTTCTAGCGTTGTAAGTCCGCAGACATCCCGCTGTGCCACTGGGGGGGGGGGGGCGTCACTTTTACAATTCTATAAGTGTGAAGAATGTTTTGTGATGTCGTACGGATTCTAATTCAGTTTGCCA